TTTGAGGAAAAGTTGAAAGTAAGGTTTTTTTGAGGAAAAGTTGAAAGTATCAATTTTCCTTAAAAATCAAAGTTTCCAAAAATATTTTTGAGGAAAAGTTGAAAGTATCAATTTTCCTTAAAAATAAAATTTCAAAAAAAGTTTTTTTGAGGAAAAGTTGAAAGTATCAATTTTCCTTGAAAATCAAAATTTCCAAAAAAATATTTCTTGGGAAAAAGTTGAAAGTATCAATTTTCCTTAAAAAAAACAATTTAAAAAAAATTCAATTTTCGGAGAAAAGTTGAAAGTATCAATTTTTTCTGCACAAGAACAATCAACCTTTTCTTTCTTTTTATTTTGATTTTGATTTTGATTTTTCTTTAAATAATCCGACGACGGAGCCTCTGCAAGTGAAACAGTAGTTTTTCTTGCATATTCTTGAAGTGAGGGAATTTTCTCAATTTTTTGCTAAAAGTATTAGAGTCAATTGAGAATAATTTCCAATAATTAATTACTCGGTAAAATTTTAAGGCTCATTGGATAACACAAATTTTAGCTGGTACCATCTTTTGATAGGCGTCGTGAGGGTGCTATAACCTTCCTCACACGTAACCGAACTCCCGAACCTTGTTTTGGTTAATAGACCTGAACCTATTCTTTTAGAGACCCTTAAACTTAGGTGTTCCCTCAAAAGATAGATTCTTTAGGTGGCCAATCGCACCTAGATAAAAAAGATTGGTGGCAACTCCTAAAAGTCAATGTCTAGCGATAGATCTCCGGATCTAGACGTTATGACATTTTATATAATTTCATGATCACACCATGCAAGATTAGTATTAATTTCATACAATCGTAATATCTTTTAAAAAAATTAAATTATATTCTCGTTTATTAACATTTACTTCTAATTTTTTTTATAGTGGGAGAGTAAAGGAAGCTTCACAATAGACGAACTTGATGAAGTTCGTAAAAAGTGAGCTAAGTATGTATTATCGTTCACTACACCTTGAGGTTGAAGATTGTTGGTTGGGTGTAAATATAGGCATTTCATTTTTTATAATGTTTTTAACATGTCATGTTGAATGGAAAATTTAAATTTCTAGCTTAGGGTATTGGTTTAATATTATTAGTATATATTTGTTTTATATCAATTGGCAGCTTATATAAATACACATATATTGAATATGATTATTTGAAAAAAGTATATTTATATGGCGCTGTTATTAGTTATAAATTTACATGTGTGGTCAATTTATTGAAATACACAATGTTCGTAATGTAAATTTTAAAATGTAATTTGTAGTATCACATATATAAACTAAATATTTTTTGGGTATAAACCTACAATTGACTTGCATTCATTTCCAAACATGCTTTTCAAAATGATAACAACTATTTTCCCATTTTTTTAGTTAGGTCAAATGGCTTAAATTGAAGGCAATTTCTGACCAAAAATATCTTAAATAATCCTCTTAAATTTTTATGAATGGATTATAAAAGGCATGTTTGACCAAAAACACCTTGAATAATTCCTTCCAATTTTTTAGATAGGATTATTGAAAGCATTTTTGACCTGCAATAATCTCTTCCCATTTTTTTTGGATTATTTAAGGTATTTTTGTAAGAAAACGCCTTGAATAATCTCTTAGGAAAAATTGAATGGGTTAGTCAAGGCGTTTTTGGCTAAAAACGCATTGAATAATTCCCTTTAATTTTTTATGATAGGGTTATTAAAGGTGTTTTTGGATAAAAATACCTTGAATAATGCGTAGATTATTCAATGTGTTTTTGACAAAAAACGCTTTCAATAATCCACGAATTGTTCAATTAGAAAGGATTATTCAAGGCATTTTATGTAAAAAAAAAAAAACACATTCAATAATCTCGGCCTTTTTTTAAAGGAATATTCAATGTGTTTTTGTCCAGAAAATACCTTAAATATTTTCTTGCAAAAAATTGAAGGTGTTTTTTTTTACCAAACTTCTTGTGATCATTTTTAAAATTTATTCTCTTTTCTTGAACCTTGGAATTTCAAACTACTAATACAGTGAATGATAAATATTATTTTATAAAAAATTTTTGCAAATAACATAAAAAAATATTTATATGAATATAAATATTATTGTATAAGTAGATTATTTATAATTTGGTTTTCGATCTAGAATGATTTAAAATTTTATGAAACTATATTAAAATTGAAATATTAATTGAAACCAAATTAATATAATATTGTAATTAAAAAATTTTTTAGTATAATATTTAATTATAAATTTATTAATTAATATAATATTTACAAATTTTATTTAAAATTTATTATCATTTAAAATTAATTAAGTTACAAATTTTATTTATTAATAATTATAGCTTTTATCAAATTATAATTTTTAAAAATTTTTATTAAAGGGAAATATTATGAATTAATATTTTTTTAAAAAAATTAAGAATAAATATTTTTTTAGCTTATACTGACGGTTATTATAACCGTCAGTATATAACATATTTATACTGATATATATTTATATACTATCAAAAAAAATTTACCTATAGGTACAGGCACTGTCTATACTGATAGTAACAAAAATTTATTAATATAGATATTTTTTATTTACATAATTTAATCGTTAGTATAGATAAGTATCAATATATAACATATTTATACTGACAGATAGTTATATACCATCAGAAAAAATTTATCTATATCGATGGTTGCATAAAATGTTAGTAAATGTATGATATAATCTAATGATATTAAAAATTTATCAATAAAAGTCTCTTTTACTGATATAATTTGACTGTCAATATAACCAAATGTTAGTATATAAAAATTTTTTATAATGTTGATTTGAAGATTGACTTTCATTTGCCTTAACATTTTATTTTATCTTGTCCTCAGTTAAGCGTTCATCTTTATAATTAATTTTACAAATGTTAGGCCCATCCTCCCTTCACCATATTTTGCACTCTTATTTTTTTTTCTTCAGTCTAATCACGTCTTTCTTTAAGAACTTTTTACCCATTATGCATGGATCATTGATAATTGCATCCCACATCTTTATTCATAAACTCTAATATAAATGGACATCTTTATAAGCCAATATTAATAGTTTGTTCCATGACAAACCAACATTTTTAGATGCCATGGATCACTCTTGAGGATGTTTAGCTTGAAATCATAAGAGACTTGCCTGATTCACTTCTTTATTTGGTGGAAGACTTAGTCTTTGCTCTGGTGAATGACCAAATCTTTGTTGTGAAGTAGGCATTTGCTTCTTGTTGGACCAAACTTGACTATTTCGTGTCATGTGGAAGAAACTTTGATTAGCTTTTTTGCTAACCTGGATGGGAATTGGAACAAAAATAGGGTATCTAGCACTAGTGAGTTTTTACAGCTTAAAAACAACGTGAGGCGAGAGACTTTTGAAGAAGGTTTAGTGGTTTGCTGGGCGATTTAGAATAGGAAAAGCGCTGTCGTGAAACAAAATGAGCAAACGAATCTAGTTATAACAACAAGCTATGCCAAAAACTTTATTATAGAAAGTTCAAGAGCAGAATGAATGTGCATTAGTCAGTTATCGAGTAGTATGGGAATGACCGGCAGCAGGAAGGATTAAAGTAAATTTTGATAGGAAATTTCATATTAAATAAGGCTTAAGAGGAGCTGGCTTAGCTTGATTTATATAATTATTTTTAAAAAATAATATTTATAAATTTAGAGTTTGAATTTCAAAATTTGTAATTTTTTTTTTATATTTTCAAATTACTCTTTTTTGTGGAAAAAAAATAACTTAGGAGTCATTGAGGTAATTATCAGAGAGATAGAGGGTGCTCGGCGCTTTATCAAGCAGTAGGGATAAAATAAGGGACGTAAGGGTGATTGAAGCAAATCTAGCAGCCAGAGCAATGGAGCTGGCAATTGAAATGGGTTTCATTCATATTTGGTTTCAAAGGAATGCTTTAAGGGTCATACAACAAATGAAAATGGTAGAGGTAGATCGATCAATGATAGGAAACCTTATGAAGGAAGTAAAAGAAAGATTGAAAGCTTTCTTGAAGGTCAAGATTACTGTGTTAAGAGAAAAGCTAATTCGAAAGATCATTCCTCGGAAAACATGCATCGAAAATAAGAGAAAACTTATACCAGTTGGATTGCCTTGATTTTAATACTGTAACAGGAGATATGATAATTTATATATTTATATTAAATAAAATATTAATAATTTATATATTTATATTATAATTTATATTGATATAAAAAATATAAAATAGATTATAATTTTTATAAAAATTTTATATCATATTATTTTTATATTTTTTTATGATATTTTTATCACTATTTTATATTTTAAATTACTAAACTTACGTAATAATTATTTCATATTGTGCTCATACTTACTTTATTAATGAAGTTTCTAAGTTAAAAGAAAAAAAAAAAGAGAAAAATTATTTACGTATTAAAAAATCATTAAAATTTTAACTTTTAATAATTTGTCAAACATATTTATTCGTATAAAAATTCAATCTCGAAACTTTGATATAATAGTATCTTTCTGCTAGTATTTTATTTTAATTAATCTCCAAATTCACAATCTCGAAACTTATTCCCCAATTAGCTAAGGCAAAGTTCATCAAAGTCAGCTTTAAGCATCTTTCTGCTAGTATTTTATTATATTTACTTTTTTTTTTCTTTATTGTAAATCATATTTGGACTAAATTTAACTGAAAAAAAAAAAAAAAAAAAAAAAACGCGATATTTCAAGCAGAAAAAATCTCACATAAAACGAAAATCAATTGTATTAATTTTCTTAAAAATAAAAGAAATCAAATCAAGATCAAATCACTGTCATCGCACCTTCCCCGTGCATAAAAATCAGTTTCCTTATACCATAATTTGTTTTCTTTCAACTCCTCACTACAAAATTATCGTCGCCACCACCACCAGTCCTCCGCCAAACAGCAACTCTCCTTTCCACCATGAAACGCTTCTCCTCAATCCCTGTCCGACGCCCGCCTTCCCTTACTCCATGTCCGACCTTGCTCGTCTCATGCTAACTATTGGGTCGTGGCTACGAATGCGCCGCAGCCGTTGTTTTTTGCTCTTACTCTGTTCCCCTCTTTTCCTCCCTTTTCTCTGCGCCACTTTCCCCTTCCTTTGCATAGCCGAAGCTTACGTTCGGATTTGTCGGCGAAGAAGGAGCGGAAAGGCGGCGGCGACGTCGCAGGAAGAGGAGGAGAATCAGCTGCGGCGATGTGAAGAGGGTTGTTATGGGGGTAAAGAAGAAGAGACGGAAGTTAGGCTGCTACAGAGGTATTTAGAAGATCAGTTGGCGCTCGTTGGATCTGCTTATGAATGCGGCGATGACTTTGATCATCATGATCATCATCATCAAGATGCTGATCGTGATCTTGACTGTAAAGTTGCACTTTTGAGTTAATTTGTACTTTTTTTTCTTAAATTATTTTTAGGTTTTTTTTTTCTTTTTTTTTTTGTAAATTAAACTATTAATGTAATTTTAGCTTTTCACCTTTTTCTTGATCAAAATTGAGATCGAGTGCTATTCTCTTATTTAGACTTCGAAATAAAAATTTTGCAAATTACATAAAGGACATTTTCTTTAAGTAACGTTTGCTTGGCAACATTTTAATGATTTTGGGGAAAACGATATTAAATGAAGATGTTGGATTTTAAAATTTTATTTAGAATATAATTTGATTTAAAAAAACAGGATATTTTTATTTTTATTTTTTTGAAAAATAAAAAATATGAATAAAAATGTGTTTGATAATTGATAATAAAAATAAAATTTTAAAAAATAAAAATATATTGTATTACGAAAAAAAAAAAGAGATATTTTTTAATTATGAAAATAAAAGTTGCTTACTTTTTTTTTGTGATTTTTAAGTTATTATATATGAACACTTTTTAACGTGATTAATTAATAATATATGTTTTTTATAATTAGATAGTATTAATAATAATGTCATTGAATATTTTATTTATTTTTTGATTTTGTATGTTCAAAAAATAATTTTTATTTTTATTTATCAAATATTTTTTTGAAAAAAATAAAATGAAAGCTATTTTTTAAAAATAAAAAATAAAAAAAATTTTATTTGTGTTTGGTTAGAAAAATATAAGATTATCCAACAAAATTTTTTATTATATTATTTTTGATAATACGTAAATAACATGCGATATTTATAACATATGAAACATAAATAACACATAATATTTATAATATATGATACGTGAATAATTTATTATCTTCATTGAAACTTAAAAAATTTGAAAAATAAATTTTTTTATTTGTTTTAATAAAAATTACATTTTTTTTCTCTTAAAAACGTTATTTTTATTAAACTTTGAAAATATAATTTTAATATTTTTTAATAAATATTACGTTTTTTATCTAAAAAATAACATTTTTGTTCAATTCTAAAAAATAAAATTTTAAAATAATATATTTTTAATAAAAATTACGTTTTTAATCTTAAAAATATTTTTATTGTCGAAATTATAAAAAACAAAATATAAAATTATTTCATTTCTAAGGTAAATAACATTATTTATACATAATGTAATTAAGTTAAATAAAAAAAACGTTTTACTTTCCCTTTTAAATCTTAAAAAAAAAAAAACTTAGGTAGGTGAGAGTTTTCTATTTTTCTTGCTTTTTCCCTTTTTAACACGATTGAAAATGTAAGATTTCTAATGCAGGAAAAAGTTTTCAATCAGACTAAGAAATCAAATAATAAAAAATTAAATATAATCCAAAAAAAATAAATTTCATAAATCAAACGTTCTCTAATAGATTTTGTTAATTATTTGAATTTTTAATTAGCTTACATTCTTTTCTTAACTTAATTATTTGGCAAGTTGTGAAGGATTTATTACTCGATAAAGTTCAAATTTAAATTACAATTAGATTGTTGCCCTTCACTTTGATGAAGGAAAATTTTTAATATTTATAAAATTTTTTATTAAATTAATTTTAAAATATAATATTAAATAATAATTTATTTAAAAGTTATTAAATGATAATTGTTCGTTTATAATTTGAAATTTAAATATATAAAAATAAACAAATAAAATAAATTATTTATAATAATTAAATAAACAAAACAAACAATAAAGTCAACATGATCAAACTACCAAAATAACATCGTTTTGATTAGGGTATAAATATCCTTTTCAAGCTTTTCCTTTCATTTTCTTTTTCTCTTCTCTTGTGACACATCTAGCCTTTTTTCTCTAAAAGCCTAGAATCGTCGAAAATCTGAAGCTTGCCTAGATTTTGATAGTAGGCCATCATGTTGGCTGTTGCCGACCATCATCGGTCACTGCTCCCTGACATCGGTTTACTTCCAAATTTCACCCAGATATTTCCTGTCACTTAATTTTTCTCTTTTTCACACTAGATTTTCCTAAAAACCTATAGATTCTCCTATATCTATAAAAAGAATCAGCGGTTACAAACCCTAAAACCTCTAGTTTTGCCACTTCAATTCACCTAAAAATAGAATATATCCTCCCCATCACCTAGTTCTTCTTCTCAGTGGGCTTAGAACCCCAAAAGTTTTTCGATCGTTATGGATCATCGTTACCAGAACTATTGATCACTATTGACTTAAGGAGCTCACTCTTCTTTTTTACCTTTTTCTAATTTCACTTTCCTAATTGAAAATCTCTAAGCCCATAAATATAAGCCCTAGGGAAATTAACATCACGTTGCTAATTTCTTCTGGCATTTTTTTATTACTTATGTTCTATTGATGTGTATGGTTACTCAAACTTTCATTATGTATGTTGATATTAGGAATTGCTGAATGAATTGTTGAATTAAAATATGCTAATTGTGTTACTGAAAAATTGTATTTTGTTGAATTATGTATTGTGTCAATTTTGAAATTGTTGTTCTCCTTGATTGTTAATCCTTTTTTTTTTTATATATTGCTTCTTGATTGATTTTTATGAATTTTATTAGGTTCAAATTAAATTTTTTTAAAAAACATTTAGATTTGTTTTTTTATTTTTTGGATAATTTATTTATTTTTTAATTGTAGAAATTTTTAGTTTTTTTAATAGCATTGATTTTTTGTAAAGGGTAAAATGGTTATTTTATAATAATAGATAAAAAAAGGTTAAAATGATTATTTTATAATATTGGGCAACTGTTAATAGGTAAAACCTTTGAGGATACTTTTAATATAGGATAATGTAGAGATAAGGTGATAAGAGATTAAATGGTCATTTTACAATATTGATAGAAATTAATCATTAATTTTCAAATTAAGGAGTAAAACAATCATTTTAAATTATTGGACAGGTGTCAGCATGTAAGCTCTTTGAAATAATTTTTTAGATTTTTTAAAAATATTATATATTATTCTTTTAGTCCCAATTTGTTTGGTTGGTATTAATTTTTATGGAGTTTTAAAAAAAAATTTTGACTTTTTAATATTAAAATTAAAATTTTTTTATAAAATTAAAGTTTCATAATTTTTAATGTCTAAAAGTAAAACATAAATCATAAAAATAATTTTAAATTATAAAAAATAAGAGTTTTAAATGTTCAAAAAAATAATATAATTTTAAGTGATTCCAAAAAAAAAAAAGGGATAAGAGGAAGTAATATGGATTAAGGATATAATGGTCATATTACAGGATTGGTATAGTCATTAATCTCCAAACTAAAAGTTAAAATTATAGAAATTATATTTAAATTCAAACATAATAATTAATTTATTTTTATATATTTATTTATTAATTTAATAAGTTTAAGACGAGAATGTGTAAGAAATACTAAAATTAAAATTAATGACATATAGTACTTTTGTGCCAGATGGACTTAGCAGCTTCCATTAATAATTTTTCAAAATTTTTTATTATCTTCTTTTTGGTGATTTCTTTTAAAGGGTTTTTTTTTTTTTTTTAAAGATATCATTAAAAATCAATATATGAGATCAACATTTTAAAAATCTCTCTATAAAATATATATATAAATATAAATATATAATATATATATATATGGCATCAACAATTATAAATAGAATGTAAAATTGATATAAATTTCGCATTTCACGAAGATTCTTACGTTTACCAAGAGGGAATGTACAAAGAAAATTATTGAAAATTATCATTAATATTTCATTTCTAAATTTCAAAAAAAAAAATCTATCAAGAGATTAAATACACAACATTATCATTTTATTTTTCATTATCATCATTCGATCCTTCACTTAAATCATATACTTTTTTTGTGCTTGAGCTTTTTTATCTATTAAATTTTTTTTTAAATGCTTACATGTTTATTTCATGGAAAGTCTGCACTTTTATAATCAAAATTGGCATATCAAAATAAACAAAATTATAATTTTATCTATTATAACGTATAGATTTATGAATGTTAGGCATGAACTTTAAGAGTCCTCATTAATATTTTTTATTTAGGTACAAGTAAATATATTAATAATCATGTAAATATTACTTATATAATTAAAAATATAATAATGTAAATATTCAATATATTGATAATCACGTAAATATATTATTAATTATGTAAATATATGCAATAAATTAAATTTATGTAAAAATAAAAAAAAATAAAAAAAACATATATTTACAAATAAATAGAATGGAATAAAGTAAATAAACAAATAAACATATATATACCTAAAATAAAAAGAAAAAGGTAAAAAATTTGTGCCGGTTGCAGGCCAAGAGTGATTGTATCTGCAAGAGTACATATCATTAACAATGTAAGGTCCACACGGCTCCTCTTAACTTGTTTGCTTGTTGGACATCCCTTTGAATAGGGGTGTAAATGATATATTAGTCACTTGCAAGCTACTCGGATTCGACTCGATTAAAACTCAAATTCGATTCGATAATTGTCGAGCTGAACTCGAGCTCGAGTAGCTCGACTTATTGAACGAGTTGAATTCGAGCATATTAATACTTGACCGAAATAGCTCGCAAACCTAATCAAGTTTTTTTATTATATATATTTTTATTATTTCATTTATAAAATTACATTTTTACCGTTAACCTAAAAAACCCTTAAATTTTATTTTCTTCTTTCCCTTTTTTCTTTCACTTTTTCTCCCCATCTCTCTCATCTCACCAAGCGATGCCTTCTCATCCCGTCAGTTTCACCGAGGGTTTAAGCAGTGATTAGGTACGAGCAATAGTCTGATTAGGATTCTGCTGGAACTGCGCTCTCTATTAAGAGCAGAAAAGCATTCGAACTAAAGAGATAGAAAGAATAGTGTAGTGTTTAGTTCCTTTATGCTTAGAAGACTTGAAAGAGCTTCGGATTCTAGCGATCCTCAATTCAAAGTCGTAAGTCTTTCGCTTGACCGAGGGCTCGTTGGTCTTGCTTTCGATTCCAGAGATCGAGATTCGAATAGCAGTTGGGAAAGGGGATTTGGGCTA